AAAGCATATCGAAGACGACTTGATCCACCGCAAAGACTGTTCGTTGCTTTCACCTGGAAAAGCGATAAATTTAGCGCATCGGTTTCGCAACCATCGTCAAGTTTCTTTCTAAACTGGTCACTCGTCGAGCTGCACCTCATAGGCTCATCGGCATCGTAACGAATTGCAATCAACGGCTTTGATTAGGGAAAGAACGTATCCATGACAACGCACATGAGCAAGCTGTCCGGCTTGAGCTACTGACATGCGTGGCACCTCATTCCGTTACGCACATTCGCATGATACGCATCTGCTTATTACCACCAGCTCGACTGAATTTATCGCCCACTCCAAGTATTACTAAGCAATAAAAGCTGCGCATCTGTTACAGTGATTTCCAGAGATTTCTAGACTAACTAGTGCTTCCTTCCATCTTTTAGCCATTAATGTAAAGAATGAGCTTGAAATGTTTCCCATTGCTGTATTTAAACATGGCCGGAGAGATGATTTACATTTTGGAGCAGAGGATCAAGGTGAGAAGAACACTTAAAGGAAGGAGAATGACAAAGCACTTATTTAAAGTTTGGATAGCGAACCTAAATCCTTCGCAGTCCTTTATAATCAAATATTGGTCAAATTACAAACCAAAAAGCTGACATTTTAGCGCGCTATGAAATAAGAGGCAAGCAAACCAACACTATTCTCCGGTTCATTCTAAACGGTAAATTGCTAAGAATAATCATAGGGTATAGCACGAAATGTAGTTGTGAAATTTGGTTATATCTATCGTTTGAGCCTCTTCAAATGTCAGGAGAGAATAAAGCCTATTGAGTAGTACAAATACTGTTTAAAACGTCATTGTACGTTGCTACGCTTCTCATACCATTTAAAATCTGCAAATGTAGAAAACGACTTGAGAAAAGGTTATTTTATTTCTTTTTCCATTTACTTATAGTACATCTTGGCAAGCAAATGAGCAAACTGCTTGATTTGTGCGGGTTCCTAAAGTAGTTTCTGAACTTATATACAACGAGCTTTTGGCCAACTCAGTGCTGCTCTCTTTCAACTCATAAAAAATATTTTCAGAAGGAATTGGCTATACAGCTTTTTTACTTCTCATTTTTAGAATCAAAAGAATATCTCCGAGGAAAAAGGCGATCTTGTGCTTCACGATATTATTAGTCAAACACTTAAGCAAAAATATCTTCATGAAATATTCAAGTGAGTAACACATTTTGAAATTGAAATTTTGTTTTAGATATTAGATATTGAGTTTTCCAAGATTTTTACGATCTCAGACCACAACACATGTTCTCTCGCCGCCATATGCGTGCTATGTTTGAACGTTTAGCCCATTCTAGCATCATGAGACTTAGTGAGAGCAGGTAAGATAGAAATACAAAGAAGGAAAGAAAAAAGTTGAGAATAGATGTTTTCAGTATGGAAAAGTTGTTCGATCTCACTCTGATGATGACCAAATACCAGATCCAATCGGTGGTGATGCCTGAGCAAGTAAGATTTCGAATATGATTAGGAGGAAAAAGTAATGATATGCTTATTTTTAGATCCTAACAGTCACTATGAACCATTTGAGTGGTATGAGACGCATTGCAAAGCAAGAAGATGATATCCAAGAGTTGATACGCAATGCACATGCCATGGTAAGCAAAACCAATTTTATTTGTAACTCTCTCATTTCCTCCTTTTTTTCGTTTTCTAGCTCCTTCACATTTCCTTTCTTCCTCTTCCTCGTTCCTCATTCATTGTTCATGCTTTGCCACCTCCATCTACCCCTTTTGCGTGTCCTGGTTCGGGGTTGGCAATGAGCTAGCTAATTGTTCCAAAGGTCAACATTAGCTGGTCTATTGCCAGCCTAAACCTTGACATTCTTGCTCCAGTTTCGACATCCCTCCTACTGGCTTTATTTCTAATAACATAAACTGCTCTGTCCACTTATAACACCTATTTTCTCTTTGATTTCAACTTCGCAACATGAAAGTCGAAAGTTGAAAATGTGATGCAAATGTTCAGCTAACAAACTTACATAAACAGTTGCATTACAATAGTAAGAAACAGCATAAGTACAGTACCGTCACTGCCGGTTCGACAATTTGCTATAAAAGACGCAATGTCGCGTCGGAAGAGCCGGAT